AGGTGACATCAAAGCAGTGGTTAAAGATGAAAGAATGTGAAATAACAGTACATGTAGTTATCTTTCATTCACCCACAAGGGAATGTATTTGTCTTTTACCTGGAAACTTTCCGGCAGTGAGATGCCATCTCTTTGGGAGGCATAAAGACCACCTAAAGGCAATTCGGGTAACCAAAACATTTGTACCTCCGTAATAGTCTGAAATAAACCAAAATCAAAAACATAAAATTAATTAATTCAAGTGTCAAGTATTCTGTTAAAGAACCAATCCTTCCTGATACTTAGAAACCCCTTTGGGTGAGTAAGCATTAAAAGCTGCTAAAGTAGACATTAATGGTTTGGTGTGTGTGTCTTCTTCTCCTCTCTAGTCTCTCCTCCTTCCTCTTTCTGCAATCTTGAGTAAGATAACAAGCTAGAAGTTACTAAAAGAAAGGACTAGCAGCTAAAGAAATAACACTGCAGGATAGTAAGGGAAGAAAGAGGCAGTTCTTAGAGTTTGCAAACACTTGTTTATAATGATATACTGAAAATATGTTTATTGCTTTCTGGTATTTGGCCATAAAGCTCAGTTTGTTCCACCAATGGATGTAAACAATCCAAGTGTTCTATATTTTTAAAATAATAAACCAACTGGACCTCATATAAGCTCACCTAGGTAAGAGTTTGTACAGCTATTAGGAGCTTAAATTTCAGTGTTCTCTTATAAAAACTTAGTAAATTAAAAGAGAATTTATATTGGAAAACACTCAAGAGATAATTAAATTACAAAATAAAATTTAAAGGCATGATCAAACTTCTTTAAAGCACTTAATTATTTTAGTCCTTAGAAGAAAAGCTTCAGGTTTACCTTGGAGAACTTAAAACTTAATGTTTAAGAATTCTTTCCATTTAAACACAAATCTGAAATTACTACAAAACACAGTTGAAATTATTATGTAAAAATTAAATAGAAATCATTTGCAAAAATAATTTGTAAATAGTGTTTCCCTCAGGAATATGTATTTTGCATAAAGTGTGGTCTCCCTGTGAAACAAAAGTAAAAGCATCTGAAATGTACTTTCAGTTTGTCTACAGAAAGGCTAGGACCAATTCAGAAAGGAAATGACTGGAATTCTATTTGGTGTCACATTGTGTGGGGGTTAAGATAACAAACTGCCTCGGGCCTCTTTCAGGGCAACAAAATAAACCAAAATTGTCTCCAGGGTTGTAAATCCAGAGAATGATGTGGTACACGTGAACACAGAGAAAGAGAACTGGGGAAAATGTTTTTTTAATGTTTGCCTTTGGGCAGGATGTTTTTTCCTTACTAGTTGACTGTTCCTAGCAAATGTGAAATGCTTTATTTATTTACTTTATGAACTATTATTATTTAGGTGTAGGCTCCTACTGTGGGGGAAAAACTCCGCAGCATATCAAAGAAAGTTACCATCTAGAAATGGATTTGGAAAGAGTGTGAGTGTTGGGTGAGGAGAAAGGAAGGTGGTTGAAGGCTTTGACCGCTCTGGCCCTCCCATTCCTACCTTCAGTGGGGCAATATATTAAAATTTGATTCATGTGGGTTTAACATGTGCTTATTGATTGTTGTTCCAAGTTGCACACTTGTTGTTCTAAGTTTAAGCTCTTCAAAGGAATCAAGTTATGACATTCACTCCCAAAACTTGCTTGCTATTGTGAGATTAACCCAGGGCACTACAAAAGAGAAATTCAAGCAGAACAAATAAAAGTCAGTTCTGAGAATCTAGAAAGAAGCAGCAGACTGGGGGAGCTGGAGTCATTATGGTTCTTAATATGTAGCAAGCTGATATTAATAACAATTTCATTAAAAGGCTAGGAATCAGCTTATAAATAGGATCAATACTTCTGTTACTATCTGATTAAGAAGAGACAATGATTATTAATGGTAGAAATCTTTATCTCCTAGTTGTTTTATTTGTAACACCAGTTTACGTGGAGGCATCTCTGTAGGTTCATACAATCGTAAAAATCCATGCCTAAAACTTTGAGTGGCACCAAATTACTGCTTAGAATATATTCTGAAGGAAAAGCAAAGCAGATCTTTGAATATTAGCCTCAGATTTCCTGAAATTATGATAAAATAATTTAGTTATAACTAAAGCATTCATGCCAGGCTGGTAAGGATGTATTCTGAGTTGACTCTGCATGTTGAGTAAATCTGCACCTGAAGCCCAGTTGATGCCGAGAGTCCTCTATTTCCTAGGAAATGAACATGTTAAAGAATAACCTCCCAGGAAGAAAGAAGTTTAGTATATTGATGTACAAGCAACTTCATCCTTCTGCCTTGCCCCTCCTAATTTATAGCCTTCTGCGGGGGTTTCCAATGATGTGATTAGCTTTACTTGCAAGAAACTTGCAAGAGTTTCAGGGTAATGATTTGTCAGCTATAAACTCATTCAGCTAATCTGAAGGAAAAATTGTAGAGCAGGAAAGAACCAGATGCAGAGGTGCTGACTTGTGAAACATGGTGGTAAGTGCATTTCTAGCTAGAAGGTCTAAAATTCTGGTTTCCTAATCTTGCAAAGGAAGGGGAATGATGATGGGCAAAAAGAAAAAAAACATTACCACCACCAACAAAAAAATTACACCCTCCTTGCCTGAGGTCCTCTTCTCTCATCAAAATTAGGAAACAGTCAATTTGGTTTCACATAGGTTAGAGGGAATATGGCTGGCAGCCCGGGACTCTGGGAGGAGGGGTGTCAGGCAGAGCGGATACATTCGGTTAGAAGCCAAGTAAGCACAACACACAGTGGTGTAGAGCAGCAAGAGCTGGGCTTGAAAGTCACTGCTGATTGAATAGTAAGGTGTGTCTGTGAACACTGACTCCATGAAAATTGTTTCATTTCATTCCTTCGTTCATTCACTTATTCACTGTGGATGTACAACACACTCTAAGGAGCACAGTTATAACAGTTATAACAGCTCTCATCCTCCCATTCTCACTGAGTGTTCCAGTTACTAGGGTTGCTGAACAAATTACCCCAGAACTTGGTGGTATAAGACAAGTATTTATGATGCTAACATTATGTGGGTCGGGAACTCAGGGCACAGCAAGTATGGTTTATCTCTATATCATGGTGTCTGGGGGCCTCAGCTGGAAGATTTGAAGGCTGGTGACTGGAATTGCCTGAAGCTTGTTTAGTCGTTTGTCTGGTGGCTAGTGGTGGTGGTAGCTGAGACTTTAGCTGATGGATTGGCCAAAATGCCAACACATGGTCTCCTCATGTGGTCTGGGCTTCCTCACAGCATGGCAGCTAGATTCCAAAGGTGATTGCCAAAGAGCATGAGCCAGGCAGAAGCTGTATCTTTTTTATGACCTAACCTCAGAAGTCACATAACATCAATTCCACTTACTCCATTACTCAGGATGATTACATACACTACTGAAATTCTAGGGGAGGGAACATCAACTTCAAATATCAGTGAAAGAAATCTTGGTCATGTTGAATGAAAAGTAGATATATATGTATATATGTGTGTATGAGTGTGTATGAATGTGTGTACATATATCATTCAAGATAAGCATTGTTTGTGATTATTTTATAATTGATGGCCCAAGGACTCATAGCTGGAAACATACTAGTAAAATATAATAGCTGAGCATTATGCTTTCCAAACTTGAATCACTTGCATATTATGTCCACTATTTTTACTACTATCTTCTCACCATCTGTACCATTGTTTCCTTAGTTGTTTTCTGTAAATTGGCCTGAGTGGTTTTTTTTAAAAAAGAAAACCTCAAATTTGTTTTAAAAGAAAACTAGATATTACTAGAGGAAATAAAATTTATTTTTGTCATAACTTGAAGGTAGCCTTAAATATAATAGAAGCAAAACAGAACAGGTGTTAGATACTAGATACACTGTATTCTGCTGAAGATTCTGAGACCCAAGTGGGCCTCCCTCTGTCAAGAAAGCATGTTAGTGGGTGTTAGAAAGATGTGAAATCACACCTACCAAATTAAGGCTCTCCCCTTGCCTTAATCTGAAAGACTAATAGAGAAGTAAAAGAAAATGATGCCTAGTGAAAAGTGCAGTGATATTTAAGGTCAGGTCTTTGTACCTCCCAAGATCCTTTAAAGAACTATCAGTATTGTAGCCTTGATATTTTGGCAAATACTGATCCAGAGTGATAAAAGTGAAGCTTTAGTCTAAACCAAGTTCCTGAGACTCATGAGGGAGAACAGCATCTGGGACAGAGTTGATGCTTATTAACTAATAAATGTGTTTTTTAATCAGCCATATGTCAAAGGCTAGGTTCTTGGCACATCTGTGCATTTTTGTTTTTTGGTTTTTTTCCCTCATAAATACTTCCCTGAAATATCCAGTGAGTAATAAAAGGCTTTGACTAGTTGTCTTCTATACAAAGCCTAACTAGCCCCATTATTTTATTGCCATTCCCCTCATGCAGGTGGAAATGACTTTTTGCTTCCCCACTGTGGCGTAACTAATGTTCCTGGGCTTTACAAGGCCACCCTAAGTCCAGAGCCCCCAGGCAGACTTGTCCTTCTTATTCTGTAGCTATCTAAATTCTATAACATTCATTCCTAAAATAATTATTAGCACCTGCTGGAGCCACTATTTTTACTAGGCCCCAGAGATGTCAGAGACATCTTCTTAGAATACAGAGAAAGGTACTTGGGGATAGCTATTTCTCCCCTAAAATTTAATTAATTGCTTAGCAACCCTGTATTCTTGTTGGTATTCATTAGAAAACACTACTCCTAAAGATTTCTGGGGATTTTTCCCAGCAGAGATGATAACTTGAGATAATTGTCATGGCTTCTCCACCCAGATCTTTTCTTTGTGGTTTTCAGCAGTATCAAGAAGGTCTGCAGAGGTTAAGAGGAAGACGAGAGCCAGATATTTATTTTCAGGGAGTCCAGTTTGTAGCCTTTACCACACTCTAAGACTTTTAACAAGAGCAATGCCTTCCTAGGCATGGGGCCAGCATTCACAGATTTTCTTTTCCTTCTTTATTTGTAGTCAGCTACGGTGAAGCTGTCTAAACCAGTGGCTCTGTGGACCCAGCAGGATGTCTGCAAGTGGTTGAAGAAACATTGTCCGAATCAGTATCAGATCTACAGTGAGTCATTCAAACAGCATGACATAACTGGTAAAGTATGCAGTATCCAAGATATTTCATCCCATTCCCCCTCCCTGTCCCGATGGCCTTTCCCACACCCTTGCAATGAAAAGGCATCTCCCTGCTGAAATTTGCTGGCATGAGTATATTTTAAAAGGGGTGATAAATTCCAGATCTATGTGAGCCATGCTACTCAAGAAGCATATGCAGTTATTGTAGAAAGCTGTGGATTTTGAGTGTCCACTGTAAAAGGGTACGGGAATCAGGATGAGGAGTTGAGGGATCCTAGAGCAAGTAAGATCACACCAATCCTAAACAAAAAGAAAGAAAAGGATGTTATTCAAATGAATGTGATTACAGGATCAGTATGTAGATCTTCTAAGTAGGGAAGGTTTCTAAATAGGGAAATTCTCTTTTTCATGTTTAAGATAAAGTTTGTTCACTTTTCTGACTCAGTAAGATGTATGTGTGTATCCAATGATAATGAAAGGGTCTTTGTGGAAAATCAGTTTCCTTGACCTTGAAAACATGGTGGCTGGATTCCATCCAATGACCACCTGCTTGTGTCTGTGCCCAGAGATGGTCCAGGCTTCTGAAATGAAATGTAAGGATGCTAACCCACTGCCCTTGAGATGAATACCTTCCAGGTGCCAATTAAGGCTCCATTAAGGTCAAACGTATTTGAATATTCTAGGTGGAGGTCAGGAAGTACTTGGGAGCAGAAAATAGGACAGTATAATAAACCATGAAGGCTCTTCAGATCAAATCTCTCCTTCAGTGGGTGGAGTGGGCAAGACAGAGCAAATATGCCCTTCATCGCAGCCCATCAGAGTAAGCGGGAGATTCTGACTGTATGCAAGTGACACTCCTCCCCCACCCCTTCCCAAAGAGCACTGTGAAAGGTAGGAGTGAGGATACACTCTGCACCAACACTGTGTGGCTTCATGGGAAACAATGTTAAGAAGTCCTCATTCTAGTCCAGATCCTTCCTTTTTTCTTAAGGATACTGACACTGGAGGGAAGATGACTTGCCATGGAAGAGCTCAACATCCTAGATGTCAAACCTCTTTCCAAACCCATACTTCTATCTTGAGAAATCCTAACCTCTCTTGTTCTGTTCTCACCTATTACTTTGAAAAGGTACTTGTTGAGCAGAAACTATTTCTTTTTGCAGTTCAGTTCTTACCCTGTACTATGAAATCTGGGCATGTCTACTTCACCTTCCTAGAGCAGGACTCAGTGGTTTTCAAAGTGTGTTCTATGGAGCCTTTGGCTGCCAGGAGACATTGGTGTGCTTTGGGTAGAAGTGGGTGCATCAACCAGATCAACTCCCTTTATGTCTGCTTTATATAGTCAAATCATATAGAAAATTTGATTTAGTTTTTAAAAGAATTCTGGCACTAAATGTTTAAAAAATGCTGAGCCTGTATGATCATAGATTCCTGCTCACCAAGTTGGTAATGTCTAAATATATCAGGAACATACCCAATCATTGCTCAAGCAGAATTAACAAATAAGAGAGTGAAATCCTCCTAACTTAAGTATAAAAATGGTCTTTTGTGAACTTCTTTCTTCCCCCAACTAGAGGCAATGGCTCTTTTGGATGAAATTTCTGAAATTCTGAAGGCAATATGGGCACTTAGCTTAGATTCCAAGTACCTAGATTTTATTTTTTCAGTTCCTCTTTTAAGAATATAAGAAAAGCTCATATGAGGTCAATTATTCCCTGCCCCCCCAAAAGTGATCAATCAGTTAGTAATCATTTCCCTGATTATGATAGCCTTCATCAGATAATGGCTGCTTAATGTTTCTTAATGTCTGTGTTATAGTAGTGGTGAAGCCTTTTTCATGATCTTATTTGAAAGTGGTGTTATCTTTTATTAGGGGTGAGAATTATGAGGTACCCTTGAGGGAAGGATAAGCATTTATAATGGTTTAAAGAGGATGAGCCTTACACTCCTCAGAAATAAAGATCCATGCTCCAGTGCTTATGGAGTAAATGGTACCACTGTCCAAGGTTTTCTGCTCAGTGACATGAGGACAGGGCCATGGGAATGAGATATGTGTTTCAAACAGTTGTCGTATGCTTTGTGTGGCACTCTTGGTCTCCACGAAACACCTCTGGTATCGGTACATCACAACCTTCTTGGGATCTTGGGCAAGCTGCTTAACTCGGGCAAATTATTTAACCTCACTTCCTCCTCTCCAGAATAAAGATAATAATAATACCTGTCTCAGGCATTGTGAATATTAAATGAAATAATGTAGGAAAACCACAAAGTTAACTATTTATCGACACCTTCTGCGTGCCAGTATCGTGTCATCATTCATGTCAAGACTCTCCTGGAGGTGTCGAAAAACATATTGGTACTTCATCCTAAGGGCAGCCTATTTTCTGGTAAGGAAAGAAAGCAGGGAATTATTTGGGGACTTAGGGAACAGAGAGAATGATTTCAGATTAACATTTGGTCCACATCTTTTTGACATTCACCTATTTGAAGCCTCAGAAGACCACTCTCTTCCCCTGTTCTCCTGCCCCTGACTCTCTAAGGGTAAAGCATTCAAATGATCGCAGGTGCCAAGTGGCTAGAAAATAGCTTTCAGGACTCCAGCCAGCCTATGATTACCAGCCCTGTGATGCTGGAAGCTGTGGGAATCCAAGTCCCCTTGGAGGCTGTGATAAATTAGGCAAAGAGGTTTGTAAAACATCAAGACGTGATGCCAGAGCAAACCTCGACAGGCTGTGCAGATAGTAGAGTGACTTAGGGGAGGGCAGGGGGGTGGTTAGAAGTGCCAGGTTGAAGACCAAAGCTGCAAAACAGCTGTGTGATTTTATGAAGGTTGCTAGGTGAACTTCAGCTTTCCTCACCTGTAAAAAGGAGATGATAATAGTACCTACCTCATGGTGTTGCTGTGAAGGTCATTCACAGTCACAGTAAGGGTAATGTGAATGAATGTGAACTGCTGCCATTTTCCTAAGTGCTGCCCTAATTTCTGCGATGACAAAACAACACACACAAACAATGTTAGATTCTGGCTTTATTGTCCTGAAAAGTGGTAAATGAGCAGCTAAAGGGAAACCAAAGAGTCTGGGCTGGTAAATATCCTGTGCTAATCTGCAAGGCTACAAAAAAAAAAAAAAAATGTTCACATATCTCTTATTTTTGCTTTTGCTTAGATTCTCTCAAGTGCTACTGTTCTTTTATTTTTCTTAAAGCGAGGCTCTCCAATATCATGCTCATTAAAGAAGCATGTTGTATCAATGTTATATATAAATAGGCCCTTGATTTAGAGGCAGATGATCCAGTGATTGCAAATAAAAAGGAAATATATTAAATGGAAAGAAGAAGAAGAAAAGAGAAACAGGTTTTCTGATCATAGGTCTGAGTCAAATCTTCACAGTTGTCCTCCACCCCAACCTTTGGCATATAATAGCAACATAATGTCACACAAGTTAGTTTCTTGTCAGTAAAATGAGAATATTTATCTTAAAGGGTTGTTGGAAAGATTAAATGGGATGATCCATGTGAAAGGCCTAGCTTAATGCCTGATACATAGTAGACAATCATTCATCCATTTAGCAAATATTTATGGACCATCTACCATGTACCAGGTTTGGAAACTATAGCAGTAAATAAGAGAGTCAGTGACCCATGTAGGGAAAAATGTGTGTTTCCATGGAAAACTATACATCATCCTCTCTATAGCTCAACATTTTGGGCTATCTAAATCCAATTCTTGGGAGCTATTTCATAACTCTGAGTTAACTGATAGTAATACAATAATTCTTGTCTATTGACATGTAAATTCTGTCCCACAGAGGTTCAGCTGCCTTCCCTAGCCACTGGGGAAAAGGTGAGTTTCACCTCCCATGTACACATTCATTTCAGTCTTCATGATCTTTCATTGTGTCTGCTGTTTGGATTCTCCTTTGAGCTGGTTGTAACATCTGGCTAGATTCATCATCAATAAGTTAGAATCTTAAAGACGTGTTCATTTTTGTATTTGTACAAGAGTCATGATTTTAACCTTTTTTGAAAATTACCTTTTTAAATTTTTATTTATTGTTCAGAGACAGGGTCTCACCCTGTCACCCAAGCTGGAATGTGGTGGCACCATGATAGCTCACTGCAGCCTCCAACTCTTGGGCTCAAGCTGTCCTCCTGCCTCAGCATCCTGAGGCTCTAGGGCTTGAAAATTGCCTTTTAAACTGGGTAGTTGTTTAAATTTTCCATATTTATTTTTTTTTTACAAACAGTTCTATTATATTAACAATTTTCTTATGTGTTTGTTTGAAGGACATTAAATTCTAAACAGATTTTCCCCAACTTGCTCCAAAATCTAAGATAATTTTAGATATGTTTTAACCTACTAGTGCTCAAAACCTTTTGCAAATTTCCTATTCAAATTTGTGATAATTTCATTATGTTCAGAAGACACCTGCTACTTTGTGGGCAGATGTATTTAGCCAGAAGAGAAGCTACAGTAGACCCTCCTTATCTGAAGGGGATGCTTTCTAAGACCCCCAGCGGATGCCTGAAAATGTGCCTAATACCAAACCCTATATGTACTGTTTTTTCCTATACAGACATACCTATTATAAAGTTTCATTTATAAATTAAGCACAGTAAGAGATTAACAACAATAATTAATAACAACATAGAAGTATTATAACAATATACTATAATAAGAGCTATGTGAATGTGATCTCTCTCTTGCAAAATGTCTTCTTTTCCTCTACTCACCTATTTTTGGACCACAGTTGACCACAGGTAACTGAAACCTCAGGAAGCGAAACTGTGGCTAAGGGGGGAACCACTGTACTAGTGTTAATTCCCAACAGAAGTGCTCTTAGAAAGGAATAAGATGGTTAGAACACGGGAGAGGCACTTGGATATATAGATTTAAGTCATTAGATTAGGCTTGAAAGAAAGAAATGTATCTATTTTCCTGTGCTTACAGATTCTTTCCCTAGCTTTCTGAGGCCTGGCCTGGAATACTGATGAGAAGGTCTTGCTGGGGCCAGGCCT